ACCATCGAGGTGCTTAAAATTTTTTTCTTTAGTACTCGTAATTAAATTGACTTTATACTTTTATTAAAATTAACGAAATATTTATAAAATTATAGACCAAACAAAAATAGAAATGCTATTATTATTTATCGAGTCTACACAAGAATAACTCATTTTAATGTATATTTAATCTCAATAACTAAACATTTTTTTACTGACAATTAGTTTGACAGAAATGTTACTTATTTAAAATTTTATAAATAATAGTAGTTGGTTGATCAAAATAGGAACTGTGATTGTTGGATTTTATTTTTTGTAGTGTTCTTACTACCTAGAATGGATATGAAACATATTCGTTTAACTAAACGAAATACCATTCTTTTTCGTTTTGTACTGTATGCGTAGATAATCTAATATCCTTGTGAGTATAGAAAAAATTTATTTTCGTTTCCTAGATGTTTTGCAATTTCATGTTTTCTTTCACTATTATACTAACTTTCTTATATTATCAGCTTATACTATATAGTAGTTTGTGCAACAAGAGTGGATATGATGGCTATATCGCACGAAGAAGAAATTTGAGCACGACGCCGTAGGGGAGTGCTCAATCGTCTGAGTGCGATGTGGACAAACAATCCACTCGAGTTGTACATATGTTACAAATAAAAAAAATATTTTAGGTTATTAAGACAAAATAAGTAATTTTAAAATAATTTATAAATTTTACGGATTTTAAAAATCAAATAAATATGAAAAAAAAAATCGCCAACCGAAAATGGTTCCCCGGCTTTTCGCGTGGAAGTCAAGCACACTGCCACGCGTCCACGTCCACTTTTACGATTTTGCTAAATTTATTTATTTTTTTTAAAATATGGTCCAAATAAAAATGCTGTTATTTACGATTATTTATCTATTCTACACAAAAATAACTAATTTTAATGTATATTTAATCTCAATAACTAAAAATATACTGACAATTAGTTTGACAGGATTGTCACTTATTTAAAATTTTAAAAATAATAGTAGTTGGGTGTCCAAAATATGAACTGTGATTGGTGGATTTCATTTTTTTGCAGTATTCTCACTACCTAGAATGGATATGAAATATATTCGTTCGGTTGAACGCAATGACATACTTTTTCGTTTTGTAGTCTGTGCGTACATAAGCTAATATATATGTGGGTGTAGAAAAAATTAATATTGATAACGTAATAGCGGATACTTTTTTGGATGTGCATCCCAATTGTGTGCAAATAAATTAAAAGGTATAGCCATTATTTTAAATATAGATTCAGGATATTAAAAGTTGCATGGTGTGGCTATTTAATTTAAATGCGACATAGGAATGTATATGGTCCGTTTACGTTGGCCTGGCGTATTCATATTTTAGTGGTGCAATGGCGAAAGTTATTTAAATATTTACGGACTGTTTAAAACTACTACAGGTAGAAAACAGTAAATATTATGGGCTCTCGGCACTCGAGTTTAGTTTCACAGAAATGTATAGCCGCTATATCCTCTAATGCCCCCACTTCAAACCATTGCATTCGACAATCGGCAGGCGAGACAAATATTGTTTTTGGGCGGACTCAGGATATTTGGAAGAATTGTTAACTTGATATTATTGTAGGGTCCCATTACAATTAGAAGAACACAGCTACGTCATCATTTGGCAACGTAATTAATTGGTTATCGCCGCCTATTGGGGGTTAATGTTAATATTATATAAATATAGGAAATATTGTTTAACACCTAACAACTTACTTAATTATTGTTTATTAAAAGTTATAGATAATATGCATTCGAAATTCGAATACATATTATCTATAACTATATATAAATAAAAAATAGGTAAAATACTATATATTTCCTAGATTCCTATAATATTAACTCCAGTAAACGGCGATAATTAATTAACTACATACTTTGCCAAATGATGACGTAGCTGTGTCCTTCTAATTGTAATCGGAACCTAGTAGTGTTCATAGAAATAACTATTTTAAATGTTGTATGAGGTGGTGTTTGAGATTAAAAACACAGGAAGAAAAAAGGATTGTTTTTTTAAAAGAAAGAATTTAAAAATCAGCTGCTTTAGAGATCAAAAAAATATTTTTTAAAATAAAACACGTAGCTACGATTAAAGTAAATACTGCTTTTTTTATAACAATATTAAATGTATAATGTATTATTCTTGCATTTAATAAAAAACCCAAACAGTTTGTTTAGTTGCGTGACAGACTACCTAATAACTCTAAGTAACAATAAAAAAATAAAGGTAAGATTCCAATTTTGTCGGACATTATAAACATTTCAATCATTTTTAAGTTATCCATTTTCTATCCCAGTATGTCATTAAATATTTTAAAGGTACTATTTCTCAAGACGAGACGTCTGAACACGCAATTATTATGAAACAAAATTTCGGTAGACAATGACCGACTACAGCAGATTTAGTATGGCAATATATGCCGCCTTACTGCTGTCTCGGTCTCTTGTCGTTTGTCGCTCGTTCCCAAATGGTACCTTAAATCTTCTTAATCCAAGGGTCCGCGATTCGAACCCCACCGTTAGCAGGGATTTTTTAAATTTATTTATTTAAAAATAATTCTGATCCATATGTAGGATTCTCCACTCTAACCATTCACTGTTGGGTTCTAATTGCCAGTGCTGATCCTAAAATGGCGATGGGAAACCGTGACAAGGCCTGTCTGTAGGCGTGTATTAAAGTACTAGCACTCCTGCAATATGGAGTATTAGACTACTAGTTATACTACTAGCGATATTAACTTAAAATTTTTAGTAAAAATTAAGCTCTATAAAAGGATAAAGCCTATTGATTCTGAACAAAAATTGAATAAAAATGGGGTGTTAAGGAGGGTCTGTTAAACTGTGAAGAGTATAATATAGAATGCCAAGCATTATATATCTTCATTCTAGTTGGAGGGTTAATGGCTAATTATCCTTCCTCCATGGGTTAATGAGCCTACATTGAATTGTATATATCCCAATTTCTTTCTCTTTTGATTTTATATAAAAATTACCTTGATGCCAAAAATATCTCTCATGCATGAATGTCATAATATCGCTATACGTGTATATAGGTGTCTGATGGTATCTGTGTGTCTGTATCCACGATACCTCAAAAATGTATGCAGAGAAAAACAATAAATTAAAAATTTAAGCTTTAATCTATCCTCTAATGAGTTGATTAGATTTTGGGCATATACAGAGTCGTTTTTCTACTTTAAGGAATATGTCTGTTATTTACGCTTGAAGAAAAAAAATTCGTCAAATAAAAGTTGCTAGTGAAATAAAATTCAATTAAAAATAAATGAGAAAAGTATGTAGGTATTTGAATTTTGACCTACCCTGTACAAAACTATTTTAAAACAAAAGATTGGTTTTCAATTGTTCCTTTAGCAGTATATTGAGATTAATACGATTTTCATATAAAATTGCTATTAGCGTATACTCTGTATGATCTCATACTATTTGGTATTGTTATAATAGGAAAAGCGAGGGCAATTAAAATATAAAATAAAATAAAGGGAATTCCATTTAAAAAACCTAACTTTGATATGTTTCACTTTTTTGGAGAACCCTGTATGATTAAAATTATTTTGAAATTGTTATCTTTTCGGATATACATCTCGTTGTGAAAACAAATTTTAAAAAATCAAATAGTTTTGGCTCTACAGACTGAAGCGTTACCCCATGGAGGAAAGATTATTCGTTACCCGTTGCCCATCCTGTACATAAGTCATTACCTTAAAAGGTTCATTTCTCAAAATTTCAAATAGACATATCTGGAAAGAATTTCTGACTTGTTTGTTGTTTAGAGAAAACAAAATATTAAAAAGTACCTAGGGAGAAACGCATATACTCGTATAAACTTAGCCAAAAATATTAAACTTTTGTAAAAAGTGTTGTTTTATTTATAAAGTAGGTATTTATTATTAAAATTAAAGCCAATAATTACAAAGTATGGTAGTAAGTTAAATTTCATTTTCAAATAAACGTATTTTTTAACCATATTTTGTTAATAATATATTGAATTATTTATTTAATTAATTTTCAAAACGCGCGTATAAAAATTGTATTTATTCCGGCCCTGTTCCGCATCAAACTGTTACAATAGGTATTTTCCTTTGCATCGAAAGTGTAGCACTGGGCTACACCAATTCTGAAAATATCGTTCCATATATACAAATTGTATGGATGGAACGATATTTTCAGAAGTGACGCAGCTCAGTGCTACACTTTCGATGCAAAAGGCGAGTTCGGTCAGTCAGGGGCTGGAGCGGGACAAATTTTAGGGTGCTTTTAAATGACATTTAAGCGTGTTAAACTGTCACTAATCGGACTAAACCGAACGCTAAAAGAGTCGTTTGGAGTTAAAAGTGTTAAAGGAGTTAAAGGAACGTGGCAAACCGAACGCAATGAAAGGAAAAGACCTAATAATACTGGGATAATACCACATACTTTGATTACTCATTGCGTTCGGTTTGCCACGTTCCTTTAACACTTTTAACTCCAAACGACTCTTATAACGTTAGGTTTAGTCCGAAGTGACAGTTTAACACGCTTAAATGTCATTTAAAAGCACCCTAAAATTTGTCCCGCTCCAGCCCCTGACTATCCGAACTCGCCTCTTGTGTAAACGTTTTCTGAAATGACAGTTCCTATCTTCCCTCCACCCATATCTAATGCTGCGTTTGAGAATCCACATCGGATGCATTTTTTACATCTCGAGCGTTTTTTTATCCACATCGGACACATCTGTCCCATTAAATTTACGTATACTGAACCACGTGATCAAAGATTTTTTACATCTCAGATGCATCCGATGTGGATTCTCAAACGCAGCATATGAGTACAACATGTACATTGGCATTCTACCCCCCTCCAGTTCATTGCTCCAGCCCCTGACTATCCGAACTCGCCTAAAGTCGGTGATGTGACCCTAGGATATACCCGATTTATGTTATGTCATTAGTGTCAATTTTATTTTGTCAAGTTGGTTCACAATGGCTGCGTTCAGCAGACGAAACAGTTTACTTATTTTCTGCTGAACGACAACTTTTCTCAACGTTGCGTGAAACAGTTGTGGGATCAGTCGCCATTTTTTGGAGCGTATTTAATTTTTGCTACCTTTCAAGTAAACATGTTGAGTATTAGGTTTTTGAGGTTAAGATCAACTTACATAGATTAAAGACGAGGGCACAGAAAAATAAAAAGAAAACATGGAAGTTCTAGAATTATTTGACCCAGATCTCGATCAAACTTTCAAAATTCAGGTGACTGCTAAAGAAAAGCATCTAGTACTGAATGGAGGTATAGTAGAATTGACATTTTAATATGCTATATAAAATGTATAAATACTTAAATATTTTAGATTATGTGTTAGCAAATACATTATTAAGAAAAGCCCAAGAGGCATGTAATATCGAAGTAGCGTTTCAGCTTGAGAATGAGGATGATATAGGTAAGTAACTTTTTATAGTAACTTTAATATGATGTAACATAATGATTTTTTTAGATGATTCTAATGTTACTTTTAGTCAAGAAGGCTCTGCAGAAGGTTCACTCGAAGGTGAAGTAGAAGTGGAAACCAATTTAGGTATAATTTTTAGGGTGATTTTTTTAAATTATTTCTAATATGAATAAACTTCTTTTCAGAGCCTGAACATTTTGAGTGGACAAAGCAAACAACCAAATTAGTGCTTCAGCTCTACATGGAACGAAAACTCCAGTTTCGAGACCCTAAAATTAAAAAAAAAAGTATTTGGAGAGATTTGAAAAACAAATTTTTGGAGAAAGGGTACAAAGGTGTGAATGAAGATATTTTAGATAGGAAGATGAGAAATATGAAAAAAAGGTACAGGACCATAAAAGATAACCAACAAAAAACGGGTGCTAGTCGGATTAGTTGGGATTATTTTGAAATGATGGAAGAAATATTTTTGGACGATAAAACAGTTAATTTTGGAGAAACGTTGGCATCTTCACCTGTTTTACTACCTTCTCAACAGGCTCTATTTAATAATACATTTTGTGTGTCTTCTCAACAGGCACAATGTAGTACTCGAAGTAGTATCAGTAATACATCTTGCGTACAGCAAGAAAACTTAAATTCTCATAATCATAATCTCTTGCCAAGAGAAGTCACTCCAGGTACATCATCGATGTCTAGATGTGTAACTCAAACACCAAAAACAAAAAAAGCCCTCAAAAGTCGAGAAGTGTATTCCATGCGACAAAAATTGAAAACTTTAGATGAAACAAAGGTGGAAGAATTAAAAAAGTTGCGAGAAAGTGTGGAGGAAAATAATCGCATACAAAAAGAAAGAAATGAGATATTAATGAAATTAGTTAACAAATAGGTTTGTTTTGGTTAATAAAAATATCTCCATGAACTGTAAAACAGGAAAAACTTTATTTTCAACTGTAAAAAAATGGTATTCTTCATAAATTATCACTTGTCTCGAAAAATATTCAAACAGAAGTTGAATATTTCTTTGCTTTAGTGAAATAATAACAAAATGTTTTTTTTTATCAGATTTTTGTCATTATTTCACTGAAGAAAAGTGATATTCAACTTTTGTTTGGATAAATATTAGTTTTGAAACAAACAAAAACTTTTATAAAGAATAACATTTTTTTTTTTTCAACAGGGTGAAAATAAGTTTTTTTTTGGATAACTGTAAAAGACGAGTAAAAACTTTACTTTCACCTTTTCAAAAAAATATTATTCATGAAAGGTTTTCTTGTTTCAAAACTAATAATCCAAACAGAAGTTGGCTATCTTTGCTTTAGTGAAATAATGACAAACATGTAAATAAATCAAAAATAATGTTTTGTCATTATTTTACTAAAGCAAAAAGATATTCAAATTCTGTTAGTATTATTTTTGAAACAAGCAAAACAAACTTAAGAAGAATAACATTTTCTCTAAGTTGACAATAAAAAAAAGTGTTATTTTTAGCCCATCCAGATATACAGGGTGTACCAATAAAAACTCCCAGGCTGGATATTTTGGTAAGTAATAGAGATATTTTAATTCTGTAAAAGTCAGTTCACAGAGCACTAAGAGAGCTTCAATTTTAGATATAAATTAATTTTAAATAGACCAATATGTAGATGGCGATGTGGTCAATATTTTTTTTTTTTCGCTGGGAGGATCTTATATGATGCATCTGGTAACAAATGCATTTTTAAGCAGATTATGTTCTATGAACTAATTTAATAAATCTAGCCATTTTTGATATACAGAGTGGGTCACTCAAAACAGTTTCATCCTGTCTTTCAGTATTTCAACTTACGTATTATAGAGTGTGACACTACAATGTGTAGTACATCATCAAAAAAGTAATTTTATGGGAAATGTAGAAATATGACATTGCGATACTTTTAATTTTAGCGCCCTCTATTGGGATAAAAAAAACCTGTAAAGTATTATAAAGTATGACACTTAATTTAAAAGCTAATTTAATTACTAATTCAATGCATCACATAACACTAATATAAATATCATCCACATTGCACTTACAAACATTATTGCTAACTTTATTTTATTACAAGTGCAATATGGAAATATTTATATTAATGTAATGTGGTGTGTTGAATTAGCTTTCAAATGAAGTGTTATACTTTATAATACGTTACAAGTTTTTTGTTCCGATAGAAGGCGCTAAAATTAAAAGTACCGCAATAAGCAGTAATATTTCTGACTTCCCCATAAAATTACCGTTTCAATAATGTACGGCACATGGTACATTCCTTATTTAAAATTAAGGGATTGGAGAAGTGGAAGGGAGGGGGTTGATATATGACAGATGTCTGTATTGTAAAACTGTGTTCAATTTAGAATAAAAATAGACCTGTTTTAGCATTTTCTTAAAATCCAATGATTAATGCCGAAAAATAGGATGAAACTGTTTTGAGTGATCAAAAATGGCTAATTTATCGAATTAGTTTATAGAACAAAATCTGCCTTAAAATGCATTTTTTACAAGATGTGCTATATAAGAAAGATCCTCCCATCAAAAAAAAAAAATGAGCGCAGCGCCATCTACATATTGATCTATTTAAAATTAATTTATATCTAAAACTAAAGCTTTCTTAGCGATCTGTGAACTGGCTTTTACGGAATTAAAATATCTCTATTACTTACCAAAATATCCGGCCTGGCAATTTTTATTGGTACACCCTGCATGTCCAATATGTATTTACTTTAAAATTTGTTTAAGTGTTTGGATTTGATTTTTGTTATTAAAATGTTCGTTTTTTTTTTATTTTGTTAATAAAGGTAATAGAATGTGTTTGTTAAATTTTATTGAAATAATGCTACAATAGTATTTCGTTTATCTACGGCCTCATTTACAACAGGGCCGTTATTTATAAAATTATATTCATTCACCACATTCAGTTCTTCAAAACCTTGTACATTAAGTTCACCATGATCAATCATGAAATTATGAAGAACACAGGCTGCACCTATTACTTTATTTGCTAACAGCAAGTCAGTCATATCTAAAAATTTAAGGCGCCGAAATTTTCCTTTCAATGCACCAAACGTTCGTTCGATAATTGATCTGACAGAACACAGTTTAATATTATAAGTTTTTTCAGCATTTGTTAAATGTCCATTGTCACGAAATGGTGTCATTAAAGTTTTTAGGAGTGGGTATGCAGAATCACCAATCACATGATAGTTTGATGGATGGTCTGCTGCAGTTAACAGTGTAAATAGAGGACTGTTCCTTAATACACGTGCATCATGCATGCGCCCTGGCATTCCTATAAAAACATCAATAAAGCGACCCTTGTGGTCACAAGTACCTAAAAATTATTAAAAAATTTAATAGAATGGTATTTTTTAAGTTTTATTTAATAAATCACGTAAGTAATAGAAACAGTTCTTACCTTGCAAAATGATTGAATGAAATCCCTTACGGTTGTAAAAGTCATTAGCATTGCCAATGGGTTGTTTACAAGGTATGTGGCACCCATCAACAGCTCCTATTATACCTGGGAATCCACCTGACCGTATTTCAAAATACTAAAATAACAAATTATTACATTATGATTAATTTTTACTAAACTTATATATAAGTACTTACTCGAGCTTCCCTAGCATAGTTATCTAAAGCAGGCCAGTATATATACATAGGCAATAAATCTGCTAGAACGGTGACAATTTGTTTAAATACTGCATGTCCACTGCTTTTTGCCAAACCAAATCTATCACCTACAGCAAGAAAGCTTTCTGGTTTAGCTAAGGTCCATAGAGTAAATAGTACTTTTTTCTGCAATTCAACTGACAGTATTATATCATTGACCAGAGTATTTCCAATAACTGTCAGCAATTCCTACACAAACATTTATATATATTATAAACTCTTGCAATATGTAATGTACAGTATTTACCTCAAAACTACTTCTGGACATTCTAAAATGTTCTTTAAATAAATTGTCATTGTATTTTGGAATGGTGACTTCAAAATAATCGTCGTTTCGCGGCTTTTTCTTTCGTTCTTTAATATTTAAACTATTTATGGGTTGTACTAATTCTTCCATCAATTTTACAATAATATTTAAGTCAATATTATCATCGTCAAGGGCGAACATTAAAATATTGCCATCCATTGTTCGGAGATTTGTTACAAGACTTTGACTTTAATAAATGTCAAATGTTACTACAGTTTCTTGCTCAAAACGCAAAAAAATACTGTTCAGCAGACTATAAAACTGTTGCAAATTAATCTGAAACAGGTCCCGATCTTTTTTTTTCTGCTGAACGTAGCCAATATATCCCCTATAGTAGTGCATCTCACTTGTTAAAGAGTTGGCACTAAGTTTGCAGCGCAAGAATGCGTCTGTGTCTGGCCGCTCAACTAACTCGATATGGCGGTAAATTCAAATATAATTTAAAGGCGAAATTTAAATTTCCCGCCAAAATTGTAAATTTTCAGCCGCGGAATGGCGGGAATTTTTAAATATATTCATTCGGCAATAATTATTGAGAAGTATATTGCATGTTCGATTAAACGAGCTGTAAATCCAGGCGCTATTTTTATTTTGATAGCTAAAAATAATACTAATACTTTTATTATTAGCTATTACAATAAGAGCAGCATTTGGATTAACAACACATTTAAAAGAACATGTAATATACTTTTCAATTTTACCTAAATCACTTATTTTTTACCTATAGAGGTTAGATCTGAAAAAAAATTGGCTCTGGTAAAAAAACAAAAAATTGTATAAAGTATTTTATTTGAAAAATTATAAAACTTATTTAATATATTTTAAAGACGAAGATAACTCTAGCCATATCCATTTTACTGAAAAAAAAAAGAAACTATTAAATGAAATCATTTAGTTATTAAGAGATGTTTGTGATAATACAGTGGCAGCTATCGAATGTTGTACAATAAGTTTTGCTAATGTCCAAGTAAAAACTACAAAGAGTTAGCATTAGTGAGAGAAGGAATAGAATACTATGAACGTAGCCAGCCGGCTACGTGGGGATGCATCACACCGTGTGCCTGTTCATATTACACAGCACACAAGGCAACATTCATATTATTCGTTTCCTGATCGAACTAATGCGCTAACTCTTTAGTTTTATTTTCGATTCTAGCCAAGCGTATTGGAAAGTGTTCATTAGCCGATACTGTATATAAATGCTAAAATCAATAAGTGAAATAAAAAAATTTAGTTTAAATGGACATCTACTTCGAAAAAAGTAAATTATTATACTTGAATTTTAAAGGCTGTTGCCACTGGAAAACTATTATCTAGGGCTTGGATGACAGCCATAGGACTCCCTCCTTGAATCGTGTCCATAGGAAAGCATAAGATCATAGTTAAATTATAATATTAAGAGGGTAGGTATTAACTGAAAAATTATTACAAACTTACCTCAAAATTGGCACCTACATTAAAAGAAGGGAAAACGGAAACATAAAATTGTTATACTTGAATTTTAAAGGCTTTTCCCACTGGAAAAGTATTATCTAGGGCGCAGACCCTTGGATGACAGCCATAGATAGCAATCCCTCCTCGATTCCTCTTTTTCTGAGTTTGTTGTACGTTTTGTTTCCCATATTAAATAAGAAAGCACTTAATACAACAACACAAATCACAATAAATATCGCTGAAACAAAATTAATATTAAATTTCGTAGAAGAAAAAATCAAAATATTATCACTTGTCAACACTGACACTTCACGCTTCACTTATAAAAACTCAACGCTAAAGAATGAAAGATGATTCGAAATAGAAATTATTAACTGGTATCTCTTTCTTTTATAAGTATCTAAACAAAGAGAAGGAGTGGGAGTGAGTAACGCTCCGATCAGATTGTTTTGAATTCGTCGTCAACCAATGAACGTGCCGAAGTCAAAAATCAATAACGATACTAGCGCCATGAGACCTGTGTCTGGCCGCAGCGTAACTCAAAGCCATTTCTTGAATCCCAGTTACATTACTATAGGGGATATATTGTGAGTTGGTTGCACTTCTCTTGTATAGAAGTCCTCTGGAGCTAATCTTTTTTATTAATTAATCAAAAAATAAGATTTTCTTCGAACATGCCAGACGAATCTGCACCAAGAAATATTGTTGAGAAATTTTTTTCATCCGTTAATAACGTCCTAGAAGCACCAGTTATATGGGTCAGAGGTGATGAATAATTTAACCCTAAATATTTTAACTTTCAAATATATTAAAATTCATTATCATTTTTCTCAATAGTTATTACTAATTTAAAGTTATAATATTAATCGTATTTTTTTAGAAAAAGTAATAGAACCAAATCAAAAACAGTCTGCCTGGTACCATCAAAAATTTAGAAGAGTACCCACAATAGATCAATGCTACACTGACGACATAGTCTGTATTACAGAGGCTAATCTTCAGTTCAAAAGAGATAAGTAAGTTACTATAAAACATCTCAAAAAAATCATTTTTCTTGATTACATAATCAATTTTAGGCTAGTTGATAGCGAAATATTAAGTATTTTGAGAGAAAGATTTGAAGATTGTACCTTATATGAAGCTCCTGATCATTTAGAAAAGTGCACTCCACTTATGAAGCAATATGAAGAAGCTGCAACTAATTGGTTTATTAAGTGTATGGTTTTTGTAACAGACTCTTTAGGGCATATTTCACTGATAAATAACTGTTTTAGATGGTGACTTAGGAGCTTATGGTGCTGCTAAAGCAGCTTACATGAAACAAAAGCATAGAATGATTTGGGAACGTAGACATGGACCTGTAGGCTCTGGAATAAAGAACAATTAAAATAACAATTATTAAAGCACTTAAATGATATAGAGTTTGTAATATATATAGTAATAATTAGTAATCTCAATTAGTTTTTCTCCAAAAAGGTTTTTGAATATTCATATTAGAATTAATCTAATACTCAATTAAAATGGTTAAGTGTACAGAAAAGGTACACATCCATTCCTAACAGGGAAAGTATGTACTTTTTTAATTACAAGTTTAGTAGCAAAAAATTTGAAATAAGGGGTTTTAAAAAAGCTCAGCATTTCAAAATTTTAGTAGTTTTTTATCAAGTATTAAATACATAAAATGTTCATCAAAAATAGGCTTCAAGGGGTTTGAATAATAAAATCTTTTGGGCTTCCCAGGTTACTGACAATCATATTAATATCTTTCGCAATGTCCTGACCACAATATTGTATATTTAAAATGTACCAATCCAGTAACAATGTTGAAAATATTTCTGTTCAGATCCAAATAACTAGTAGTTTAAGAAGGTATTTTTTTAATTCTATTTAAATCAAAAATAAATATTGTCTAATGTAATCCTTATTTATATAATATATTTTAAACATAGCCAAATTATACATGACTATTATTTTTAGTATGAACAATTTTTATAGTTTACAATTTTTTAACACAAATTGAAGATCAGAACATTACCAAGCATTAAGTTGTTTCAGTCCTGAAAAGAAAATTACCTAATTTATTGTAGATGGGTAAATAAGTTATCGATTTTGAATTTTAAAGTTTTAATTATAAAGGTAATTGGGGATATAGACACAAATTTATCTGACCCCAGAAAAGTTAATAATAGCTTCATTCGCGGTAACAATCCTGAAGTGATTCAGAATTACTAATTCATACTTTAAGAGCAGGCCCGAATCATTATCAATTCTGAATTGTTACTGCACTTGCAGTCCCTATTATATCTTGGTGTTTCAGGTATAGACAAGCGGTTCAAAAACAAAAATTTTACCGCGAACGCAGGATAGAACCAAGAACCGCAAATGCTTTTTAACTACTGTGCCTGTTAGTAATAATTCGGTTCAGGATTCTTACCAAGAACAAAACTAATATTCCACATAAGTATTGTATGTTAAATTCAAAAATTAAAGCTAAATAACAGCAACATGGAAATTGAAAATAAACTGAAACAAATGCAACTGTGCATACCAATCGGTCACATCAGACTGGGCAAATCATATTTCTGATGCATATGTGTAATGATTTTAACCTTATTCTACTACAATATTGGAATCTCTTCTACTGTTTTTAACTTGTGACCTCTGTCTTTTAAACAATAATCTTTCTCTAACGGCTCTTTCTAACTGACGTCTAGCCTTTTCTTGACTTTCGGGAGATGGTTCAACTTGAACTTCCAATTGAGCTCTTATAGCTTTACGAATCTTCTCTAAACAGTCTGCCAAATTTAATTGCTGTGATCTAGTTAAATCTGATTTAAAGATCAGATAACCCTCCTTGGTCAATTTTGTATGGAACTGCATAAAAAAATTGTTAATAAGCTATATACATAAAACATAAAACTTACTTTCTCTATTAATTCATTTTTAATTTTGTTGCTGAGCCATTTTGCAGATTGTAAATGGAATCTTACATCAACTTTAGTATTGACTTTGTTTACATTTTGACCTCCTGGTCCAGAACTTCTGCTATATTTTATTTCTAATTCTTCTAAGGGAATATAACCACTAAATGTAGTGTTCGATGGAAGCTAGAACATAAAAGATAAATACAAAAATTCAAAAACTTTCTAGTTTCAATCAAACCTTTGGGTCTGTAA